GTTGGATTATTTTATAAAAAGATGTGATCAACACTTATCTAAGTAGGTGTTAATGAGTCAAAGTCTTTTTCTCCTTTCTGTGTTTTTGGTTTAATATATATGTTTAATATATATGTTTCTGGCATTTCTGGACATTTGGTATATGTAGCCCTTTGCACTGTTGACTTGTATGCATGTAAACTTTTATTTCCTTTTACAATCAGTACAATTAATGTAAAAAATGATGAAAATAACACAATATTGGCTTTCTGGGTTTTAAGTTTTTCTTTCTTTATGTCTTATTGAGCTGATTCAATTTTTTAGCCCATGATTAATGTTCTGAAAGAATTTTGCTGGCTACCCCTTTGAGAGGGTGAACTTCCACTGGAAGCAGTTGCTCTGTAGCTCCTCTCAGCACTGCAGCGGTGATGGAAAGATATCTTCACCATTGTACAGAAGCTGCCTTTGTCCTTAGGGACTAAAACATCAGTAACTAGAGTGACAGGAAGGTAGTTTTTCAAGGGCACGATGAGTAATAACACAAATGAGAAAAATCTAGGGAAAAGATGCTTTGAATAGAAATGGGTGAAGAAGTAAGGTATTTGAGAAATTTTAGGACTATTTGAACAAATCTTAATGCTTTTGAAAACCATAGAAAGAGACATGAGTTAAATAACCTGATTTTGTCTTTCTGATATTGATATAGTTGCCCTTCATTTTTCACTATAAAACTTATGGTTTCTTTAATGTGTCCTAAATAGTTCTTGATATTTATGTTAATAGAATACACTTTATTATTTTTTTTTCTGATGAGCAAGTTAAATAGGTTCATTTCCTATTTATTTAATTAATTTATTTATTTATTTTGCTTTTTGGGTCACACCCTGCGATGCTCAGGGGTTACTCCTGGCTCATGCACTCAGGAATTGCTCCTGGCGGTGCTTGGGGGACCATATGGGATGCTGGTAATAGAACCTGTGTTGGCCATGTTGGCTGCGTGCAAGGCAAACGCCCTGCCCGCTGTGCTATCGCTCCAGCCCCTCATTTCCTATTTAGTGTCTTAAGAATTTCCTTAATGGTGGTTGGTTTTTTGAATTCCTTAAAAAAGAATGAATCTAAGATTTCGAAAGATTGAACTCATAGGATGCTTTATATTTACAAAAAAAATGTACTGTTCTTCCTTTGCTATTAGACATTTGGGGACTTAGTTTCAGTTTAATTATTTTTATATTTTTATTTATTTTTTTGGGCCACACCTGGTGGTGTGGGAAGCCATATGGACTGCCAGGGGTTGAACCGAGGAAGGCCACATGTAAGGCAAATGCCCTTCCCGTTGTACTGTGGCTTCATCCCCATTGTATTAATTTTAAAGACGCTCCCAAAAAGTGTTTGGAGGTTGGAGTAAAAAACATCTGGACTTAATTTGAAAATGTAGTTATTGTATTTAAAAATACTTAAAGATGAATTATCTTATATTTCTCTTATCTCTTCTCTGGACTCAGCTGTATTCAATATAAGCATCCTGATATATTAGCATACAATCTTTTCCATATGGATTATTTTCAGGACATTCTGTTACATGGGACCGTGTGTGTGTGTGTGTGTGTGTGTAGAGGATTCTAGGTCATCACACCTGGTGGAGCTCTGAGCTTATCATGCTTTTGTGCTCAGGGATAACTCCTGGCAATGCTCAGAGAACCATATTCAGTGCTGGCTGCATGCAAGGCAGGTGCCTTACCTCCTTATTGTTTTTCCAGTCCCTCGTGGCACATATTTTTGGAAACATAGGTAGGACCTTAAAATATTCCTCAGTCTGACTATTTCATGATATTGGTGTTTGTAATAATTATAGGAGAGAGTTATCAAATACTTGCTCTATCAGATTTCTAGTTAGATTTCGCTTTGATACCATTATCTCAATTTTTCCAGTTATCAGCTTTGTGACAAAGTTTGGGTGTTCACAAATTTTAGGAGATAATAATAAAATTGTTTCTTCAAATTGTTGTGAAGATTCAAATAACTCTTTCTCTAGGGGATCCAACAGATACTAATCAGAGATAAAATGAGAGCTTGGTTATAAGGTCAATGTTGAAATAAACATTAGTGGTAACTGTTTAGAATCAATGCTCAGAAGTATCTTTGAGCATTTCTTGTGGCGCAGTATTGCTAGCAACAGATTCTCATTTTTCCTCTCTCTGAAGGTAACCAGAGGAGAATTCTATATAGGGATGTTTTTAAGAATAGTCTTAGGTGATAGAATTTTCATTAGGAACAAATAACCAGATAGTGGCAGGTAACAGTGTCCTTACTATTTTTTTTTAATCCATGACACTGAACTAAAAAGCAACTTTAAAGATGAAGTGACCAAGCAAGTGGAAGCAAACGTAAACAAATGGGACTACATTAAATTAAGAATCTTCTGTGGGTGGGGGTGGCGGAAGGGATACTGGGAACATTGGTGGTGGAGAATGGGCAGTGGTGGAGGGATGGGTGCTTGAACATTGTATCACTGAAATATAACCACGAAAGTTTATAAGTCTGTAACCATCTCACGGTGATTCAGTAAAATAAAAATTAAAAAAAGGATCTTCTGCATCTCAAAGATATGGCAGGGATCAAACCTGGATCAGCTGTGTGCAAGGCAAGTGCCTTACTTGTTGTACTATCTCTCTGGTCCCTGTAATTTCAATTCAATTTTTTGGTGGTTGTGGTGGGGTTCCACACCTGGCAATGATCAAGGGTTACTCCTGGTCCTGCACTCAGAAATTTCTGTTGTTGGTGCTTAGGCGACCATCTAGGTTACTGGGGTTTGAACCTGGTTGACTGTGTGCATAGGGCTAATGCTCCACCTGCTGCACTTTCTCTCTGGCCCCCATAATGTTACACAGTTGTTTATATAGTGAACATTCATGTTAGCATTGATATTTTAAAAGTATGTAATAAATGTTTTACCATAGTAAAACACCTGTCCTAATTGTAACTTCTGAGGACTCATGCTTTTGTTTTATTTTTAGTGGAGGCATACCCAGCTGTGCTGAGTGCTTGCTTACTCTTTACTCTGTGTTCAGGAATCACTCCTCGCAGTGTTCACGGGACTATTTGCAGCACTGGAATCAAACCAAAATTAGCCACTCTCTCTTTCTCTCTCTCTCTCTCTCTCTCTCTCTCTCTCTCTCTCTCTCTCTCTCTCTCTCTCTCTCTGTGTTGCTGCTATCACACCTGGTGGTCCTCTTGACTTCCTCTGTGCTCAGGGATCACTCCTGGCAGCACTTGGGAGACCAATGCTGTGCTGGGTACGTGCAGGCAAGTGCCTTAATCCCTGAGCTATCTCACTGGCCCCAACTCATATCTTTGATGATCTGTTCCTGTTCTTGAACATTTAAGGTAATTTCTTCTATACCTTAGAAAGTTTTCTATAGATAATGCTATGATTAACATATTTATGGAAATAGGATGAAATTTCTCTTTTCTCATGAAAATGTTCAAGATTTATATTTGTTACTTTGTATTTTAATTGATCGATAGCATAGCGGTAGGGCGTTTGCCTTGCACGCAGCCAACATGGCCGACCCGAGTTCGATTCCTCCGCCCCTCTCGGAGAGCCCGGCAAGCTACCGAGAGTATCTCGCCCGCATGGCAGAGCCTGGCAAGCTCCCCGTGACGTATTGGATATGCCAGACACAGTAACAACAAAGTCCCCAATGGAGACGTTACTGGGCCCGCTCGAGCAAATCGATGATCACGGGAGGGCCTTTACTTACTTTACTTATTTTAATTGATGTGGTATTTGGCTTTTTTTTTGGTATTTGGCTTTACATGTTTTATTTTATGTAGACATATATTGCTAGTTAATTTGTGCCATAGTAAAGATTAATTTATTCAGAGTGACACAGCTAATGAGTTTTTGAAGAGTTGTTTGCTTTCCTTTGACTTTGCTATGGTACTTCTTTTGACATATCTTGCCAATAACTCTCCAAAGACAGTTCATTTAATTTCCATCAGTTTGACCACAGCTTGTAAATATTTTAAGGTTACTATTTTTAGTTAATAAACTTGATAGATATAGTTAAAAAATTTGATCCCATGAAGGTACTTTGTTTTGTTTCCCCATCTACCAGTGCTTTATTATTAACTACTCTTGACTCAGTGCTCAAGGGATCATTGATACCTGCCAGGTATCAAACCTGCACCTCCTATATGCAAAGAATACAAAACTTTTGAATTATCTCCCCAACCCTATTTGGTAAAAGCACTTCCTGAAAAATATTAGTTTTAGAAGGACCAGAGTGATAGTACAATGGAGAGAGTGTTTGCTTTGCATGTGGTTGACCCAGGTTTGATCCCTAACATCCCATATGGTCCCCCAGACTCCACCAGGGGTGATTCCTTAGTTCAAAGTCAGAAATAACCCCTGAGCACTGCCAGTTGTTGTCCCAAAACATATACATATATATACTGTTTACTACATAGTATGCATACACACAATATAAAGTGGTACATTAAAGTGTTTATTAATAGAAGAGCTTTTCTCACAATTGCTTCTTAGCATTAGGCATTTGAAAGTAATAGATTGGCCCAGGCTGTTGCTGTTGCTAAAGGACTTGGAAATTCCTCGAATGGGAATTGTGTCTCTTTCAGAGTTCACTGACTCTCTTTAGTGAGTATTCTTATAGATGATGAAATATCCTAGACATTATAATGAGAATTAACCTGCTTATCAATGATAATGATAGTTTAAAAAATTGTAAAATGATTCTTTTTAAAATCTAAAGGTATTCTCTGTTCATAGTTGCAAGAAAACTTGCAGGTTTGTATACATTGAAAAGTAAATGACTCTCTGCCCCTGCCCTGTCTTCTAATTTCAGTCTGTTTGTTATACCTGGAAAAGTCATCTGTCTGTTCTTCTGTGGCTGAAACTTAGAGGTGTTTGTAAGAAGTACATTTTTATAATGTAAAAGTCTAACATTTTCTCTTTTTTCCCTTCTTTCCTTTATTATTGTTACTATTTTTTCGTGGTGGAGCTGTGAATTTTTCAGAATTGTGAATATTCTTTTGAAGTATGGTGCCCAGCTAAATGAACTTCATTTGGCGTATTGTCTGAAGTATGAGACGTTTTCAGAGTTTCGCTACTTTTTGAAGAAAAGCTACCCGGTGGAACCTTGGTACCACATATCCGAATTTATAGTTCATGCAGTTAAAGCACAGAAAAAATACAAAGAATGGTTACCGGCTCTGTTGCTTGCTGGATTTGACCCTCTGAATATGCTCTGCAGTTCTTGGTAAGAAATCCTACTGTAGTGGACCTTATCCTTTTTGAGTAAATGTTCTACCTTTAATTTTCCCTAATTTCTTGATATTCTTGTGTTATGAGGAGAGACGAAGAGGGGAGGGGAGATTGACTATAAGGATACAGTCCTAGAAAAAGGTCAGAGATTACTGGAAGGAAGAAGTTATGAATGGGTGTGAACTCTTTTCAAAAAAATGTATAAAGTTGCTCACAATTTATTACATTCAGTATTCCAACACCAATCCCACCACCATTACACCTTCCTACCACCATTATTTCAAATCTACCCACCACCATCCAAGTTGCCCCAAAGGCAAATTCTAAATAATCTACATTGTATTGTTTGTTATGAATAATCTGCTGAAAATGATCCAAAAAAGTTTCCTTAGAGGAAAGTGTGTGAAGATTGTTGTGTCTCACCCTGGAGTTATTAAGCTCTTGTGTAAGAGCTTAACTAACATGGTGTTACAGGTTGAGACTTGTGTGCTAATATATGTATATATGTATATATATATATTTTTTATCGTGATTGGTTGTCTTCTACTTTATACTCCATCAAATATGGTGAGCTACTCTGGGAAATCAGTGGTGTAGAGTATGAGACATTGCTCCAGAAATTCTAAAATTTTAAATAGGGTGATAGAGTAAAATTTTTTTTTTTTTTTTTTTTTTATTTTTTTTTCCCCCCTTTATTTTATTTTATTTTTTTTAAAGTTGTAGATTTACAATTTTTTGTGCTTTGGTTTCAATTATACAATGATCAGATACCCATCCCTCCACCAGTGCCCATTTTCCACCACCATGGATAATATCCCTCCCACCCCCATCCCCCCATCCCCCCGTCTCTGTGGCAGGGCAATCCCCTGTGTTCTCTCTCTCCTTTTGGGTGTTGTGGTCTGCAAAAGAGGCATTGAGTGGCAAACATGTTCAGTCCATAGTCTACTTTCGACATGCATCTCCCCTCCTGGGAGGATCCGATAGAGTAAAATTTTTAACTGCATGGTGACTTAGGGGTCTAGAGACATCTCTGCAGTGTGTTGCTCTCTTCTGAGATTTATTTGTGAGTCTCTGGATCATGGCCATTAATGAGCTTATATGGTGCCAGAGGCAATTTGTGGGTGTGACTGCCAGGCCCCCAGAAGCACAAGGAGATGGGGGGGAGCTCACCCATTCCTGACTCCATTAGAGCCTGGGGGTTTCATTCACAAATCCCGCATACTTGGATTTTTCAGCAGGTCCGTTCTCATGTGGGAGCCTTGTTCTGAGCATGTGGAGATTGGCTGCGAGCATGGAGGCCATTGGGTTCTGGAGAATTTTGGCTGCCGGGGCTCTTGTAGACTAAGTGGTGGGCTCACCAGCCCCTCGCCTGGACGATTGGAATGAGATGCAGCCTGGCACAGGGTCTGGAGGCTTCTCTGCAGCTTGTGGCTCTCTTCTGAGATTTTTCGAGTAAACTCTTTTTGAGAAAATCATTGAGAAGAAAATTTCTTTCCTTGGTATGTTTCTTTCATGCGTCTCTTGGAATGACTGTGACAGAATGATGTAGCTGCTTTAGAGATTTATTTCATAGGTAGCTAAACTGAATATGCTCCATAGCATCCTGTCTAGTTGAAATCTGTCTCCAGTAATGCATGCTGATTTTTGAAGTAGCCGAGGATATAGCTTCAGTAGATTCTTAGGACAGCCCCTATAAGTGGTTATATGGAAAGTAAATTAGGATTTTTGTTGAGCGAGAATTCTGTCTCACCCTTCAGTCTTTGCATATGTTGTTAGTGTCTTAGTGGGATGCAAAGATAATTGTAGCAATGAGAGAAGTTTTTTGGTCTAATAGTGCAAGGCAAATGAGAATATGGAATAAGTGTGTCTAGGAAAGAGTTACATAGGTATTTTATTAAAATTTTAATAAAAAGTTTAGCAATATTTATACTTCAGAAACTATTATTCACTCAAGTAGTTAAGCTAAATATACTGAGATTTTGTATTTTAGAGTTAAAGCGCTTTGATATCTTGTTATTTAAATTATTCTTCAAAAGAGATAATTCTTTGGGTTTAGTCAGGCAATATTAGTAGTTCCTCCTTGTAAATTTAGTTTGAATTTCTGGGTCTTCATTTTCCCTCTGGTGAGTTCTTTATCTTCATGTAAAGATCAAGTTTGATTGGTATTGATTGGTAATATATTAGTATCACACTTTCTTAAAAAAAAAAGGTCTACTGTGATGTAGAATTGGGTGGTTTTCTCTTAAGTTTTTATGCTTAGGATTTGTCTTTTTTTTTTTTTTTTTTGGTTATTGGGTCACACCTGGCTCTGCACTCAGGAATTACTCCTGGCAGTGCGGCAGGGGACCATATGGGATGCTGGGAATCGAATCCAGGTCGGCCGTGTGCAAGGCAAACGCCCTACCCACTGCGCTATTGCTCCAGCCCACTGTCCATTTTTGACCTGTGTTTTGTAAACCTCCTTCTGAGTTGTTTAATGTACATGGAAGAAAAAGTAAAGTTTAGATGTTCTGATCTCCACTTTACCTTTTAGTTTATAGTCTATAATACATTGGGTCCTGGATTGTATTTATTTCTCTATCAGTTAATACAAAGTTATCTATCAACTGCTGATCATTACAAACCCATCAGTAATTTTTACATAAAATCTCACAAATAATTAGGTACTGGATGAAATATAAAGATTATTGACAATCAAGAGATTTGATTTTTAAGCTATTTGCATGTATATATTGATATGTTTAAAGTCCCTTTCACAGATGTGCTGTCCACATAGAAACTGAGATAAAAGCTTCCACTAGTGAGTGCTGTATCTGACAAAACAGTCACTTGAAACCGTTGGACTTTGTTTCAGTGGATGTTGTTGTTGTCTGGACTCCTACTACATAGCAGCAGTTGTCCCTCAATGTTCTAGGATACCCCGACCGCCACTCTGAAACCAGCACACGCATGGGGGCTTGGCTGATCCTGGCAGTGTGCTCCTTTTCTTCCCGGACCCCACTTCAGGCGGCATTCAGCACATTCCTTTCTCATCTACTGGAAACTATTAGCTCTGAAGTTCTACCACTTGCCCCATACTAAAAGCTCTTTAACTTCATTTGATTTCTAGTTTATTTATCAAATAAACACTTTACTCAATATTGACATAGTTAATACTGTCCTAATTTTTTATTATATTAACTCATTTAGTATAAAGTAGAGTAGCACTGTTTTTCGTATTTTACAGGAGATCAAGGTACCGAGTATTTAAATAAATACTTGCCCAAACTCACACAGCTAATGTAAGTTAGAATTTAGACTAGAACTGGTTTGTCTGTACATGACTCAAGTTTGTGTTTTTAACCACTGAGCTATGCTGCCTTTGCCCTGTGTAAACAGTCATATCATTTAAGTTCAGGTACTTTATTTCAGGTACCTTAATCATGCTTTATGGTGATGCAGTTTTCCCTGCAGTACCTGTACACACTGGGCTCACACCCGTTCATTCTTGGGCTGATGGATTTGTGCTGGGTTTGGTGATTTTTTTTTTCTTTTTGGGTCACATCTGGTGATGCACAGGGGTTACTCCTTCAGGAGTTACTCCTGGCGGTGCTCAGGGGACCATATGGAATGCTGGGAATTGAACCTGGGTCGGCTGCACACAAGGCAAATGCCCTATCCTCTGTGCTATCTCTCCAGCCCTGGGATTGGTGATTTGACGCTGCGGCTTGATGATGTGGACTAACATCATAGTCCTGGGTCATACGTGTGGTGCTGGGGCTAGGGCCTCTCAGTGTCAGGCATGCACTTCAACCTGGGGCGCCGTTTCCCAGACTTCTTGGGTACCTTTGCCTTAATCCCTGCTTCATCTGAGTGGTTGATGTCTATTTTTCCTACTCCTAAGGTAGGAAGATCCTACGCAGAGAAAAAAGACTGCACATGCTTCTTTTTCTTCCTTTTCCTTAGCAAATACATGGAATTCTGGAGGGAGAGGGATTGTGTAGCTTTACTGTCCTCGGAAGGTCTGTAAAATACACTATCCCATCCCCAATTCTGACACAAATTTCTTCCCTGTGTGAGGAGTCCTTTTTTAGAATTTTGTGATAATAATTCACTGGATGTATACTATATTGACTGGTTGTATTGATATAGAAAAGAGTTAAGAATCAGTAAATTACAACTTATTTTGAGTTAAATTGTAAAGTTTCGGCTATGTGAACTGAGAATGCCCATTGCATATATTTTACTCTAAAGGAATAACTTTAGTCACTTTATATTCATTAGGGAAAAAAATACAATGGGAAATTTCACTCTAGCAGTGAAAATGCTTTAGCATGGTTAAATTTTTGTTCACCAATCTTTGTTGAATGGATAATGCCAGTGTTTGTGTTGAAATGACAGATGTTTTGCTTTCTTTGATCAAATTTATACTCAAAGAATAGTTATAAAACATTATTCTATAGAAATGCCAGTATGTTGGTAAAGTAGATTTTAGTTGTATCTTATTTATATCATATGTGTGTTGCTTAATCTTTGTCATATAAATTATAAATGTCTTTTCTAGGTATTGCCTGTCTTAAACACTCATAAAAATGTATCTGGCTGAATAATTGCCTGTCACAATGTAATCTACAAAGTTGAAATGTTTTTTTTCAACTTTAAGTGCAAGAATAGCTTCCCCTACAATGTAATAGGCAAAGTAAATGTCATCAGTGGTTAGGTTGACTCACTTTTATTTGCTTACGATTGTACAACTACTTTGTGCAATATAATGGCCAGTGTAATACAGTAACAGTACATTTTTAGTGGCATCAGTGACACATAAACATTATATTTACTAACACTGTATAACACAGATTCATTTTTCAAGTATAGGTTTAGATAACTAGTGTTTGGTCACAGGAAGGCTTAAAGCACATTAAAAGTGAGAAATGAAATCATTGAGATACTACTGGAGAGTGGATGCCAAAAGCAGTCATTTTTGGTAACCTGGAAAATCAAGAAGGTTGTTCTTTCAGTATATCTTTTCGTTTTGTCTATTCTCGCTTGCAATCTGACTGACAGTATTCTGAGAAGAAAATGTCTACCCATAGCATTTGTGCTACTCTTTAGCATATTAGAGAATGAAGGACTTGAGAAAAAACTTTTATACTCTCCAAACAGGTCTTGTAATGGTACATTGAGTTGTGAGAAGCAAACTTTCAGAGAAGAAAGATTAGAGTACTGCTTATTTTCTTTCTTTTCTTTTTTTTGTTTTCTTTTGCTTATTTTGGCTCAGTAATATCTTTAAGAAGGTGATCTTTTTTGAAGTATTTTTATAACATTGTATTGTTGTAAAAATACCTATCAGAGTTCTCATTATTTTCACATACACTCTTGAACTGTAGCACTGTAGCACTGTCCTCCCGTTGTTCATCGATTTGCTCGAGCGGGCCCAGTAATGTCTCCATTGTGAGACTTGTTACTGTGTTTGGCATATTGAATACGCCACGGGTAGCTTGCCAGGCTTTGCCATGTAGGTGAGATACTCTCGGTAGCTTGCTAGCTCCACTCTTGAAATAAGTAACATAAACATTATTTTCATTTTAAGATTAGGATTGATGGCTTAAAGACCAATGTTACTAAAAATCAGAACTTTTCTGACTTATTGCAAAATGGTAGAATAGATGACAGCAAATTGTTTTCCACAAAATACAACTAGATGTCAACGGCTGGAGCCCAATTACAGCAGGTAGGACGGTTTGTCTTACATGTGGGCCAATTCAGGTTCAGTCCCCGCCACCTCATATGATTCCCTAAGCACTGCCAGGAATGATCCCTGATCACAGAGTAGCAATCCAGGTGGTCTCAGAGACCTTGGGGACTGTGGAGGTGATCTCAGGGCCCTCTAGAACCACGGGGCCTGAGTAGCTTTGCATTGCTGCATTGAGCTGTTGGGCCCTTCCAGCTGAGCTGAGTATTACCAGCAGTGGCACTTGGGGAGCCCAAACATTTCCTGGGAGGCCCCCAAGTAAATAAGCAACCTAGTCAAAGAATGGGCAAGCAACTGAATAGAAAACTCTCCAGAGAAGATGGTAGTAGGGCTGCGGGAGGAATGCAGTGGCCCCAAATGCCTCCTTAGTGGCTTTGCATCCAGTCTCAAGGGTAAATTCCGGTGTTTCCACATGTGCTGAGCACAATCCTCGTAGTTCTTTTTTCAGAGCCTGATTGAACTCTTCTGTCTACTCTCCCTGGCACTGTAGACAGCCAGGTGTGTGTAGCCCTGGTGAGCACTGCACCAGGGAGAGATGTGTGGGCACCATAGTGAGACCCTGGTGAGCACTGCAACAAGAAGAGATGTGTGGGCACCACAGTCAGTGAGACTTGCAACAGGAAGAGATGTGAGGGCTCCTCAGTCAGTGAGACCCTTGTGAGTACTGCAGCAGGGAGATGTGTGGTCTCCATAGTCAGCCTGACCGCTGGCAAGGGCTGCAACAGGGAGAGATGTGTGGGCACCACAGTCAATGAGACCTGCAACAGGGAGCTATGTATGGGCTCAACAGTCAGCCTGACCACTGGCAAGGGCTACAACAGGGAGAGATCTGTGTGTGGGCATCGCAGTCAGTGAGACCTGCAACAGAGAGAAATGTGTGGGCTCCCGTCAGCCTGACTGCTGGTGAGGGCCACAACAGGGAGAGATGTGTGGGCACCACAATCAGTGAGACCCTGGTGAGTGCTGCAATAGGGAGAGATTTGTGGGCTCACAGTCACTCTGACCTTTGGCAAGGGTTGCAAGCACAGTGTATGTCCTCATACCATGGTGAGCACATGTGCAAGCAGCAGTGCAAAAGGAGCACAGACACTGCTGAGCACTGTGGCTCACTGTGGGTGAGTACTGTGGACTGGGGACCACTGCTGAAAGGCTAAATGCCACAGCCACTTGTCTGTGTGAATTCTGGTATTTCAGTGTCAGCATCAACAGCTATGATGCTAAAGAAGGGGGAGAAGGGAGGGATTAAACAAATGGACAAACAGCCCACAGACACACAAGTAATAAATGCCAGGGGAAATTAATAGAGTTACAGTGAACTCTCGCCTCACACCTGGGAAGAAAAGAGAACTCCTTTAGTTTTAGTGGGAGTATAGGTTGGTGTTACTTGGAAAATGTCTAGAGGTTTTTTGTGAAATAAAAATGGCAGTTCCATATGATCCATTAATACCAGGCCTATGTGTTTATCCAAAGAGTATGAAAGCACTAATTTGAAAGAATATCTACAGCCCTATGTTCATAGTACCATTATTTACAGTAACCAAAACACAGAATCAACCTAAATATGTCAATTATCAGATAGCTGCATAGACAATAGTATAGTATATACTATAGTGTAGATTCTATGCTTGCTATACTTGCTATCGTATAGATTCTCAAAGAAATCCTTCCCTACCTTAAAAAAAATGAAGCAGTGACACAAAACGGATGCATCTTGACATAATTGTGCAAGATGCAATAAGATGTGAAAGACGATTACTAGATGTGTTCACTCATACATACAATTGGAACAAATAAAGCATATTAACTGGTGAAAAAAAATGAAAAACTTATAGTTGGTGAAGACTCCTGTGCTACCACAGGGGACAGTTGGGTGGGGTGAAGGAATTAGTAAGGAATCTTTGGGTGCCATGAAGCACTGGCACTTTGAATGTGGGGACAGCGAGTGCTGTGTCCATGCAGAGTTTGGAGCTGCAACCCTAAGTTCCATACTGAATCAATAAACAGCATTCAGAACTTTGCTTAAACCAGTGATTTAAGTTCTCGTGAACTTAGGGACCTTGGAGGGAGCAGGGGGCTATATTGTTAGAAAATCTGACATTATTTGAAAAACACGTGGAGGCTAATTGTCTTGAACACATTTGTTCAGTCCTTAAAGATAAAACTTAACTCTAGTACATTGTGTAGGGCACAACTTCTAAAAGGGAGGACGTTGCACATCCTTGGGTTTTGAATAGAAACAAGTCCTCTTTCCTGGACTCTCAGAGTAGGGATAACGGGGAGTTTGGGTTCTATCTTTTCAGTACTATTATGTATCTATGATGAGCAGGATGGTTTTTTGGGAGAAGATAATGCAAATCTACTAGCTCCATTGATGCTGTCTGTCTTTTCTTACCCCTGCTTCTGGGGAATGGGAAGGAATCTTCCGGGAGTCTACAAGACTAGAGATTTTTCTTACCATGTGGGTAATTAGACTCAGTTTTGTTTCCTTTAGGAACCTGTTGATAATTACTCTTAGCTGCTGAATTTCACTCCCTTTGAATGAATATTTTTCTTTTTGGGGGTTGGGGGCACACGTGGTAGAGCTCAGGGGTTACTCCTGGCTCTGCACTCAGAAATTACTTCTGGCGGTTCTTGGGGAACCATATGGGATGCTGGGGATCAAACCCGGGTCATCCATGTGCATGGCAAGCGCCCTCCCCGCTACACTATCTCTTTGGCCTAACATGAATATTTTTCTATTTTTGTCAGCCTTCCACATTAAAATGAAGTGTTGCTTGTTTGTAGTGTGAGTTCTTGGTACACCTTGTATGTAACGGCATGTTACCATCTTGCTTCTGTAGGATTGATGCAGTCAGTGATGATGTCCTTATCTTCACGTTGGAGTTCACCAACTGGAGGAGGCTGCCCCCTGCTATTGAGAAAATGCTCTCTGCTCGGGCTGCACACTCGGCAGCCCCGCTGCAGGAGCACGTTGGTAAGAAAGCTCTGTTCTGAAAACATACTCTGTCTCTCTTCTGTAGCTCTGCCATCCTTTGAAACAGTAAAAAAAGTTTCTCAACTTCACTGGGAATCTGTACAAGTTCTCCAGGAGGGGAAAGAATAAGACCAGGAGGGCCAAGGAGGAGAGATTATGGTCATTTCTTTCAACAAAACCATATCTGATTTTATCTGAATAGCCCGAGGGAATATACAAAGGAAAACAGGGTTGCTGATTTCTTTAATATAAGGATAGCCTTTATTCTATTCTCTCCACTGCTCCTCTGTTTAGTAACTGGTAACTGGTGAGGCAGAGGCCTTCCAACAATGCTTAGGGCCCCCAGGGGTCACACCCTTTGATCTTGGTCAACCAGGGTGCAGAGAATAACCTTTTATCCTTTAAAAAATAAAGGACTTCTTTTTGCAATTTTTTAAATATATTTTCATAGTGGTTCACAATAGTACATTACAGATAATATTCAAACACCAATCCCACCACTGACCACCTTCCCGCCACAATAAGAGGGAAGTGTATAAAGGGTGTTGTATTTCATTCTGGACCCATTTAAGCCCATACATAAGATAATACAAACAAGTATGTTAAAACCAAACAAATGTGTGGTACTTTTGGTATGTAAGTGGTCAGAGTATAAGAGGTCACACTGACACAGGACATTCTGCGTTACTCTCTTCCGAAAGCTTTAGTTTATAGTCTCTAGGTGTTGGCTGTTGATAAGATTACATGGTGTGTATGTGTGCGGGGGGGGGGGGGGGGGGGAGCAATTTGTGGGTGTGACTGCCAAACTACTGGAAAACTGGGGAGCTGAGGGGAAGGGGCCAAGTCCCGATTCAAGTGGGCTTGGAGATCTCAGTCACTGGTCCTCACATCCTGGGTTTTTCTGCAGGTTCACTCTTGAGTGAGGCTCGTCTGAGCATTTGGAGTGGCCTTGAGCGTGGCAGTGGTTGGGTTCTGGAGGTTTTCAGCTGCTGGGGTGCTGCTTGGGCTGGGGAGGGAAACTCAACCCACCCCTCTCTGAGTTGCCCTGGTGAAGACAGCTTGGCACATGATCAGGAAATTATGCAATAAGGGACATTTTAAACAAGAATGACTCCTAGTGGTTGCTAATGAATAATTTGTTTATAGTCAGAAAAAATATTTAAAAAAATATAAAAAAACATTTTTCCCCCTTTGGGTTCATGTTCTTGTTTCAATATCTTACCCCTAAAAGGAAGTTTGCTATTCTTTTTTTTAATACTTCTCCTTACAAATAGATGTTAATGTATTGGTATAATTTAACTCTAGAGGTGAATTATGGAGGAAAGTATAACTTTATTGGCATTTTAAATAATAAATTCTCAATTTCTCATTTATTAACATTTTTAAAAATAGTAAAATCAATGAAATATAGTAGAAGTTTATTTACATGAAAACCAGCTTAAACACTTAACCCACTTAAACACTTAACCATGTACTTCTGTTTACTCATTCATATTTATTTTCCTTTAACTCTATTTTGTTAACCAGATTTTATGTCTTTAAGTTACAGAAATTTTTTTACTGCTGTTTTTACATGAAATGTAACTTCATAAAACACATTGAATAGATTTTTCACGAGTCAGCTTTTGCATATGTAGAAATGTGTCCTGTAATTTCTTGGGAAATACGTTTAAGTAAATATTCTCAATCAGAAACATTCAGGAAGATGTGCTCTTGAATTGAGGTGTATTCAAGCTGTTAGATTTCTGTTGAAGAAAAAGGTAATCTGCTTGGAGTCTGAGTTTATCAGCACAGAATTTCTTTAATGATAATGTTGGAAAACTTTACTTACATGTCATTCTTAATGTTGAGGAATTGCATCTGCTTTTGCTAATTATGTATCTGCAGCAGAAAAGAACAAATATCTGTTTAGAACAGATAGAAGATGGGACAATGGGTTTGGGAACAAAAAGTCAAAAGAGGGAGCATATGCCAAATGCGAAAATTACTGCAGCATATCAATTAGTAAAGATATGTGAGAGTTTACTCTGAAGACTTTAACATATGTCAAGTTTGTCCAGATGAAGGTAAAAATTGCGCATGAGTACATTACCCTGCAGTAGACTAAATCCATCAAGGACTTCTTGTTTAATTAGGCATTAGGTAGAGCTTGTGTGGGATAATAATCGTCATCTCTTAAGAGGATTTTATTTTGGCTGAAGATTTGCAAATGCCTTTCTCAGGGGTATTAATGTAGCTATTGCTTTTCTGGTCTGTTTCCCTAGCTTAAACCTCTTTTCTTGGTTTCAGTACCAGATACCTAACTACCTTCTGCAGGTCTTTCCTTAGTATCCCACTATTGACACACCAGATTTCAAACTTGTCATTTTCCCTCCAAATCCTGCTGTTTCTTCTGTTCCCTGACTCAGGAGATGAGCTGGAAATGCTGTCCACCAGCACAGCAAGTTCTCCCTGGCAGCTGTTTTTCATTTCTTTCCCCTATAGCAGTGGGAATCAACAGTGATGGTATTGCCCCCTCCCAACCCTGGAGACACTTTTGCAATGGCTACTAACCGTTTTGATCGTCATGACTGGGAGTTGCTGCTATTGCCTTCACAGGGGCTGGGGGACTGCCAGATACCCTGTGTTGCGTCTGGCAGCCCTCCATAGAGTCTTCTGACCCAGAGGCAGCTGTGCCGAGACTGAGAAATCCCCATATGGCTTCTTCGTGTGTTGGTCAGTCTTTAATTCTGCCCTTGGAAGGCCCTTTGACCTCGTTCTTAGAACAGACTGCTTAGAAAAAGTTTTGGTGTTTTGTGTGTCTTAAGTGGTTCCCCTCTGGAGGTCACAGGATGGGGGGAGGGGGCATTGTAACACTGGGTTTAGCAGACCTGGGAGGAAGAGGTATGCCCATCTACTCAGCTGTTGGTGTTTCAATGGGATTATGATTCTTGGTGCACACAAAAACTTGGGTGGATTTTTTGTTGTTGTTGTTTTGGCTTCCTAAGCCATGCATGGATCAGAACTATTGTTGGTAACTAGGCCTCCCAGACTGGAGGGTTCAGGCCTGAGCAGGCCTGGTGATGTTGGGGGCTACCAGAGCCACATCTGGCAGTGCTACGCCTGGTGGAATTGAGGGGCCATATATAACTGGGGTTTCAACTTGGCTCCCGGTGTTTGCATGTGCCCCTAACCATTTTGCTTACCTTCCTGATCCCAGGGTGTTGACACTAGAGAGTGAGCTGTGAAAGAAACATTTCTGGTTACTGCTCTCATTTGTGACATTCTTGCTTTCTTACCATCTTCTACTGTTGGGTAACATTGCTTTGTCCCTCTACAAGAAGCTTAGATTTATCTGGTTACACCCATCAATCTGGTTACACCCATCACAGTGCTCCTGAAGCACTTCCACTTCCATTGTGTTTATCTGTAAACAGTCTTCCCAATGCTCTCCTTCCCACCCAGTTAATCAGCTTTCCCCTTAATCAGACTGTGTTAATTTGTAAGATCAGTTTCCCAGAAATCTATGATTTTATATGTATAAGTGAAATAATGCCTTTATCTTCTCCTTATGCCTTATGAATAGTTTACCTTAAGTAATATCCTTTTTGTATAGATACAGAAAGACCGTTAACATTATGCTTTGTAACTTAGGATTTGATTGGCCTTGAATATTATTCACTCCCGGGCATCTGCTTTCTCGACTTAAGCCTCAGTTGCCCTTAGTTCCTAACACCCCAAAAGCAGGGTTCCGACGAGGGACTGAATGGACCCAGGGCAAGCAGTGAGCTACCCTGGCAGCGAAATGGGCCAGGCCAAAGTCCCACGATTCTTAACTATAAGTTAAGAGTTTGATCATAGACAAATGTTGTCATGATCCAAAGGTAACGACAAGACTAGGATCCTGCTAGGGGTGGGAAAGACTATCTGGCCTGAGCACCTTAGTCTGAGATCGAGATGGCCCTAGGAGAGCAATTCTATAAGTTTAAGATATTTCTTACTGTATCTATACAAAATGATTTATATTATATTCTTGTATGCTTGTCCGACAAGGAGAGGAGAGGCACGCCCATGGGATTATGCTCTAGGGTGGGTCCTCCTGCTGAGGAAGGATCTGTCCTAGGAGCGGCCTTCCCTGAGGCTAAGATTTCTACCCCTATTGATTGTGACCGCACCTATATGTAATTGTTTCCCCAATTCCTCATGGAGAGAGGATTTAACGGTACTGTAGGAGTGGGCTGGGGGGAGAAGGAAGAAGAAGAGAGTTCAGAGAGGATCAGAAGGAAGAGGAGGATGAAAGATGGAGAAGGAGTATGAAGTAGCTGGGGGAGGAAGAATGGGGGGCAGAGACAGAAGGAGAGATGAGGAGAGACAGAGAGAGACAGGAGCAGAGACAGATGAGGAGAGAATCAGAATAAACTACGACTAATACCTACCAGCCTGGCCCTCGTTCCTTCCTCTGCTTGACCATCGCCATCGACCTCTCCGGGGTGGGAGAAGGGCGAGACTACCGAACGCGGGCAGCGGGAGAGATAGAGCCACCACCGCTGTGGGTGCCGTGCCCCCTATTTTGTGTGAGTTTACACATTCTACAATAATTTTCCATGGCTTTACTATATCAATACATAAATGAATTTTTTGTTTTGTTTTGTTTTTTGCTTTTTGGATCACACCCGGCGATGCACACTCAGGAATTACTCCTGGCAGTGCTCAGGGACCATATGAAATGCTGGGAACTGAACCCGGGTCAGCTACGTGCAAGGCAAATGCTCTACCCACTGTATTACTACTCCAGCCCCACATAACTGAATTTTTTAAAAAAACATGCTTACTTCTCTTAGTAAGCATCCCAGTCATCTCAGTTCCTCTCTGCCCTTAGTGTACACGCGTTCATCCCTCTCTACAGATTTTCAAGTCCTTTGTTCAGTTCTAGAGATGCTGTATACTTGGTCCAAATTCCTCTTTATTTTTTTCTTCCCTAAGTGACACGCCTTGGTAATTTACAAATAAAAAAATATAAC